TACCAGCTTAGCAACTGGAGCACATACTATCAATAACATCAGCCGTGTGGGTCGGTTCCTGACCCTCTAGCGCAGCACCATCTGATCCGTCTCCAGCTCACGCAGATACATCTCACTGATACTGAAGAGCTGAGGTCACTTAAAGGGCGTGTACCATGGAGAACCTCAAGTAAATGATTTTAATATAGTATGTAAACATTGTTAAAGTTTGCTGTTCATGTCCGTACATGGAAGTTAAGCTGCAAAAACAGCCTGTTTTTAATTCGTCATGGTTGTGATGTCACACAAATGTTATAGCTGGACTTTAAAAGTAATAATAATAATAATAATAATAATAATAATAATAATAATGATGAAATACAGAAAAGTGTAGAATAATACAGGATAAACGATTAAATGATGTTGCTGGACGCAATACAGAACACAGACTACAGCAGTTTAGCTCCACCGTTCAGTCTACAGCAGTTTAGCTCCACCGTTCAGCTACAGCAGTTTAGCTCCACCATTCAGCTACAGCAGTTTAGCTCCACCATTCAGCTACAGCAGTTTAGCTCCACCATTCAGCTACAGTAGTTTAGCCCCACCCACTCAGCCTACAGCAGTTTAGCTCCACCATTCAGCTACAGCAGTTTAGCCCCACCATTCAGTCTACAGCAGTTTAGCTCCACCATTCAGCTACAGCGGTTTAGCTCCACCATTCAGTCTACAGCAGTTTAGCTCCACCCATTCAGCTACAGCAGTTTAGCTCCACCATTCAGTCTACAGCAGTTTAGCCACACCCATTCATCCTACAGCAGTTTAGCCCCACCATTCAGCTACAGCAGTTTAGCGACACCATTCAGCTACAGCAGTTTAGCCCCACCATTCAGTCTTATAAGTTTAGCCATGCTATTTCATTCTGAAATTATAATGAGCATCATTCAGACAGCCAATCAGAAAAGAGCTCATTTACCTACATTGGTCAGTATCAATGTGTAGTTTTAAGGGATAAATACAGTTGAAAAATGTTCTTATAAAAGATGAATGACTGGTTGGTACATAAGACCACATTAATGTTGTAAAGTGACCTCATGGAACATAATAACATATAGAAAATGTAGGAGACGGGCTCTTTGATGCAGTCTCCTCTGTCTGTACGGGTCAGAGGAGCTGCTGTTGATGTGTGGTGAAGTTGTAGCTGTGTAAGCGAGGCGATTCCCCTTCTCTCTCTCTCTCTCCCTCTCCCTCTCCCTCTCCCTCTGTGTTAGTGAAGGACCGCGGCCGGTTAATATTTCAGTTCAGAGAGAAGCCGCAGCCGGTCGCGATAATGGCACCCAGATGGAGAAGCGCTTAATGTTTCATGGAGCTCCGGGGATACGACTGTGGACGTTATTGCCTTTTATCGCTTCACTCTGACCGTGTCTGCGGGGCCGAAATCACTGAAAATAACAGAAAACTGCTTTTGAAAGAACCTACAAACAAAGCTTAGAGAGCTTTTGTACAGAGAAAAAAACAACAAAGGGAGAGAGAGAGAGAGATGGAAATGGAAATGGAAGAGGAGGAGTAGATGTGGTGCACTCTATCGTTCTGAGTCAGGAGCCGCTTTGGCTCTTTTGTGAAGATACCAGATTGTTTGTGAAGAAACATGAGGGTTTTACTGGATTCTGAACAAATAAAGTCTCAGCTTTCATGCTGTAAATATTATTGTTCAGCTCCAACATGTTTTCAAACAGAGAATGCAGTCGAGCCTTGATTTTAAAGGGCACATATCACGGAGAAACGAATCTTCCTTATTTTTTTTTTTTGAAATAAAAGTTTTATTTGTATGTAAACAGTGTTAAAGATTCAGAATGCCCTGTTCACCCTGCAGTCTGCGCAGCCCAAACTGATAAACATTTTGCACAAGTTACATTACAAACCTGTTCTGAATGTTCTCTCTTTGTTGTGTGGTTTTCAGGCGTCTCTGGCATAGAGGTGGTTGTCCAGCACGGCCTGGCCACTCCCGAGGGTCTGGCTGTTGATTGGATAGCAGGGAATCTGTATTGGATCGACAGTAATCTGGACCAGATTGAAGTGGCCAAGCTAAACGGTGACCTGCGGACCACCCTCATCGCCGGAGGCATGGAGCACCCCCGCGCCATCGCTGTGGATCCAGGACAAGGGTGTGTACCTCCAAACCCTCCGCACATGACTTTTAGAGGTGGAGAGTTATTGCTGGGCTTTTCCTATACATTTAAATAATGAATTCAATTCTGTATGGACAGATTTAGGTCTGCACTTCTGTTTGTTCTGATATCAGAAAATCAGCTCTTGAGTAATCAGATAAAGGGGAAACTCCAGGTCTACATGAGTCAGGCAGTAATCAGATTTCTGCTTCACAACCAGCCAATAAACTCACAGAAGAAGATGTGAGGTAAACGTAAAGTAGAGCTTTTTTAAAATGTCGAGTCACTTTAGCTGAAAATATGAACATACATCATCTAGATCAATCTGGACCAAATGTGCTGTGTTGGTCTCGCGGGTGCTGCATAAAACGCTGCTCGCTGTTTCCGGGGACGGCGCTCTGTTTTCACACATGCTCAGACTGAGAGAAACGAAAGAAATCAGAGTGAGAGTTTACGGCATTGAAACACCCCATTACTGAGCTCAAATCCAGCCTCTTTATCAGATTTACTAATCAGATTTATAGTGTGTGTTTACACAACCACTTAATAATCAGACCGCTGCAGAAATCTAATAGTGATCGGATTAGTAAGAGCATGTAGACACACTCAGTCAAGTCAGAAGAAATGAGGTGAATGTTAGGAGATCTCTTAGGCAGTCGCCTCGCACCACACCATACAATCTGGCTCCGAAACGTCTGCTCTGTTTGAAGTATGCAGTCCGCTTTAGGGTGACTGGGGAGAAATGCTGAGCTATACAGAGCAGAACAAAGAATGGAGAACCACTAGACCATCACATGCCAGAGCGCTCTGTAGGACTTCTGAATGCCAGATATCATCTGTACCAACAACCATAACGGCGGCATCTACTACCTTCTATAGAGAGCTGTCTTGTATGTTGACATGCTAGAAACCCCAATAATACACAGACAGACAGATGTTTCTCCACAAATTACACTCTGACTGTGGTCCACAAACTATGTTTCTGTATCTGTCTTTGTATCTTTGTGATGATCCAGCCCAGAAATCCAGTTCAAACATTTCCTGAATCTGTAGAGTCGCCCTTTCCATTCCATCTTATCTCGAGATCATACGAGACTCACATCCGGAGTTATGAGCCTATGAAGAGGGGCTGAGATACACGTCATCTGCCTCTCACTGTGTGGAACTGGTGGATTGGTGTGTCCATCTACATTCTGTGTGAAACTGACCAATTTTCTGAAGTAATCAAACACATTCAGTGGTGTTGAGGTCTGGACTCTGGGGTGGTCAGTCCATCGTTCAGCTTCTTTGTTCGATGTGTCCGTCTCCTTTTCTCAGTGAGGTTCTTCTTGACAGCTACACATCCTTTCAGACCCACAGCGCTGAGTCGTCTTCTCACAGTGGAAGGATGGACAGAAACACCTGTGGATGTTTTCAGATCTGATCAGCTTGATTTTCTCCTCTCTCTCAGAGATGAAAGCTTTAAGTGCTGTTTATCTGATGGGGGTAGTTTTGGGGTCGACCAGTTCTTCCAGGTGGTTGTTAGGAGACTCATTTTTTAATAAGAAATAATAAGTTTATAATTTATGTAGCGCCTTCCACGAACCCAAGGACGCTTTACCATCTCCACAGGTCCCACAGCTAGCAGGGAGAATTTCACTGACCACAGTGTAGAGTCACCTAGCTAGCACGGAAAGAGTGCTTAGCCGAGGGGAAAGTCTCACACTGCAACCGCGGTGCATCACACACAAGGCCGGCCTGGGAAGCCTCGAAGGCTGAAACTGTCCTTAGCTACAAAGGGGAAGCATTTTCCTGTAGTGGAACACCACCAGTCCAGGCAGCCCCACAGCTGCAGTGCAGCGTCAACCAAGCAGCCAGGCCAGGCTGTGATGTCACGTCAATCAGTTCGCCGGTCCAGAAAGCCTCTTAGCCATGATACAGCATTACTCAAGCAGCCGGTCCAGGCTGCATCATAGCTGTGATGTAGCGTCACCCAAACGGCCCAAGAAGCCTCTGAGCCACAGTTGGAAAATCACTCTCGGCCGCTATGTCAGTGGACATGATGGCAAACTACTCAGCCAGCGGGAAAACATCAAAACACACACACAATACAAAACAAACGAAAAACCGGTGTAAAGCGGCAGCCATACTGCAGAACATACAACAAGTTCCTCCACACGTTTTCACTTTAACTTTAGGTGTAAGATAATCTACTTAAATAATCACCTCAGAAATGTCTCCCGAACAGGGAATAACTTGTACTTAAGTGACGGTTTTACTGGAAGTTATGTAAACGAAGGTGCTCGGTACTGCAGGTCTGTGATACACAGTATGTTTCTATGGTAACGGTACAGTGTAATAATGTACACTCTCAGAAATAAAGGTGCTAAACTGTCACTGGGTCAGTTCCTCTCCTGTCACTGGGGTGGAACCCTCAAGGCTCCATCTCAGTACCTTCAGTCAGGGAACATAACTGAACCATAATCCACTGAAATGATATGTTCTAAGCTGTACTGACTCCACACACCCCGTCTCGTCTCCAGGCTTTTATTTTACTGTTCTGTTTAAAACATTCGGTTATGAAAAGGAACAAATACGAACTTTTCACCTGGAAAAACTTATTTAAGGTTCACAATCAGACCTTAAAACCACTGTTGGAGCTTCGAGGGAACATTTACACTGTTTGTACCTTGAGGAATGAAAAATGTACCTGAACAGAAACTTTATTAATAACAATGTGGTGTACAGTTTACAGTGTGGTGTGTGTACAGTGTGGTGTGTGTACAGTGTGGTGTGTGTACAGTGTGGTGTACAGTGTACAGTGTATGAACAGGCCTGTGTTGTGTTCAGAGCTCTGTTCTGGACGGACTGGGACGCCATGTTTCCCCGGATCGAGGGTGCCTCCATGAGCGGCGCAGGCAGACACGTGGTCTACAGGGACATGGAGGTGGGGGCGTGGCCTAACGGACTCACACTGGACCACATGGAGAAGAGGATCGTGTGGACGGACGCAAGGTGACACACAAACAACAACATCTGCCTTATTAATGATTAATGAACAGAGAGAGAGAGAGAGAGAGAGAGAGAGAGACTCAGAGACAAAGTGCTCTCTTTTTTCCTCTCTCTCCTTCTGTCTCACACTCTCTCTCTCTCTCTCTTACACTCTCTCTCTCTCTCTCTCTTTCTCTCTCTCTCTCACTTTCTCTCACAAACTCTCTGTCTCTCTCTCTCTCCCTCTCTCTTACACACACTCTTTCTCTCTCTCTCTCACTCACTCTCTCTCAGTTTATAATATTTAATCTACATTCTAATTTATTTCTGTATATTGTATAAAACATGTACAAGGGACATTCCACCAAAATCAGTTCCCCCATAACTCAGTGTGTGAGATGTAAACAGAGTGATTCAGAGTGGTTTGGTGTGAAATGGTTCAGATGTCTTTACAGTGGTGGTGATAGGAACCAGGGGTCGCCATGACTACAACACAAATATAGACATTTTATTTACTATCCAGAACCACCAGTGAACCTACACAAGTCTTCTGAGTCTATATGGAATGTTGATGATGGAAAATAGTGGAAAATCTGAAATAATAAGTTTTCTTTGGGGACTATTTTGCCTCACAGCGCCCTGCATGTTATGTATCCCTCCACCATGAATGGAGTTTAAGTTCTCTAAACTATCCTAAAACAGTGTCTCAGTCATCAGGCAGTGAATTCATAACCATTTCATGTGGGAACTTTCTGTGAGGAGCTTTTAGAGGTGGACGTCTGGTTCCTCTCACCACCACTGTGAGTGATTCTGACTCCAGAATGTGGACGGTGTGGTAAAGGAGCTCGGTCCGTTGGTGTCCCGGCGGCGCGGAGCAGACTGCCGGCAAATTAATATTCGGATGATGAAATTCAGCCGCCTGAGGAACAATCGGATCGATCATGCTCTCTGTTTCGTCTCCGCTGTAATCAGATTACACACTATCTCTCTCTCTCTCTGCTCCTTTGTCTCTCGCTCTCGTGGTTTCTCTCTGTCTGAAGTCGAATGCTTATCAGGAATCGATGCGTCTTCTGCTCGTCTTCTCGCTGACAGCCGCGGCTCTGAATGCCGGGTGAATATGAATCTCTCCCGCTCGGAGAACAGATCCGGACTGTGTTTCATCAGCTGGAGCCGGAGGCTGGGACAGCAGAGACACGCTGCTCCACTTCTTTTCAGACCGGTCCATTAAATCTGCTGCTGGGAATTAGCACAACACAGCGCTAAATACAGGGATCTGATACACCTCTGTGATATTAAAGCCTTGATGTGGTGAAAAATTCAATTCCCACAGTTTCCCTCCTTAACAGGGGCGCCTGGGTTTGAGTGGAAGTGGAGGAGATGTTTTTATCTGACGCTAAAATGAGTTATGAACATCAAACCTTAATCAGCTAAAATCATTTGTACGCATGTTTAATGAATAGGGTGCAACAATGAAAACCAGCACTACATGTGTTGTTTTTAATGAGTAGAAGTGTCCTGATTCAAATAAGACATTATTTCAACATAATTAGTCCAAATATTGAGAAAATCAGACATTATTTCAACATAATTAGTCCAAATATTGAGAAAATCAGACATTATTTCAACATAATCAGCTCAATTTTTTAGATAATAAAACATTTCAACATAAGTAGTCCACATTTTTAGAAAATAAGACAGTATTTCTACAAAATTACTCCAAATTATGAGCACATAAGAAATTATTTCCACACAATCAGTCCAAATTTTGAGAAAATAAGACATTATTTCAACATAATTAGTCCAAATCATGAGAAAATAAGACATTATTTCTACATAATTAGTCCAAATCATGAGAAAATAAGACATTATTTCAACATAATCAGTCCAAATTTTAAGAAAATGAGACATTATTTCAACATAATTAGTCCAAATTTTGAGAAAAGAGACATTATTTCAACATTATCAGTCCAAATTTTGAGAAAATGAGACATTATTTCAACATAATTAGTCCAAATTTTGAGAAAATAAGACATTATTTCAACATAATCAGTCCAAATTTTAAGAAAAGAGACATTATTTCAACATAATCAGTCCAAATTTTAAGAAAAGAGACATTCCAGTTTCAATTTAATTCAGTTTCGAGTTTAGTCGTATTTACTGGTTGATCATGCGGTCTATACAGCCTTCTGAGAGCCACTTGAATGCGGCATTAGCTACATTCGCTTGAAGCTCCAGTGCTAAAACGAAAGAACTTCAGACTATTGTAAAACTGTAGCTTCACCTCTGACCCTTTCTATGAATCACAGGGTGGACAGTCCAGCTACTCAATAATTACAATAACGGTGATGATGATAATGATGACCCTCTCCCTGCAGGTCTGATGCGATTTACTCGGCTCTGTACGACGGCTCTGGTGTGATAGAGATCCTGAGGGGTCATGAGTATTTGTCCCACCCCTTCGCCGTGTCCCTGTACGGGGGGAGTGTGTTCTGGACGGACTGGAGGACCAACACTCTGACTAAAGCCAGCAAGTGGACCGGCGCCAACGTGACCGTGATCCAGAAGACCAGCGCCCAGCCCTTCGACCTGGAGATCGTCCACCCCAGCCGCCAGCCGCAGAGTAAGAGCACATTTTAATGATCTCAAACCTCTGAATGTTTGAACCCCAGGTGGCCACATGCTTCACACACTTTTTACCGGTACACATTTTCAGACACGCTTCATTCTGAGGTCATTTGTCTTTGTTTACTTGCTGTATTTTCTTCTTTCATGCTCTCAGTTTTCATTGGCTGTTGCAGGAATCTGTTCAGGTTGAGTCGTTGACCAGTTTACACTAGACTACAATCAGAGATGGGTCAAAAAATCAAACGTTTGATAAACTCTGACTGCTCTGAAACGCAATCAGGAGGCTGTAAATCTGAGTCAGCGCCGCTCAGACACGACTCGACTCTTCCTCCAACTGTCGACTCCGACTGACCCAAAAATCTGCAGACTAGAGCCGACCAGCTCAGACTCAGCCAGACTGAGAATCAGGATAAAGTCGGGGTAAAAATGGTGTACTGTAACCCAGTGCAGGTGGTGGGAGACAGGAGGATGTTGGCCAGACTAGCCTCCATGCTGGAGAACAGCTCCCACACCATGACTGAGACTCTGGCAGCACTGGGCAGCTCCTTCAGTGACCGGCTGCTTCACCCCAAGTGTGTGAAGGAGGCCATCGCAGGTCCTTCCTTCCTGCTGCTGTTAGACTGTACAACCAGCACTGCTCCCAGTAGAACCTCCTCCACCCCCATTAGACCTCACACACCTACAGAACATAAACTGTGAATTTATCACCTTTTCTTCTGTGCAATATAATCAATAATCCATGTGCAATGTTTTAAAAATATCTCTACAGTGTAAAGATTTTTTGCTTTTCTGTTTATAATGTTTACATTAACTCCTCTCCATCCCATGTGTAATATAAACCAGTACCTCATATGCAAAACTCTATGTGAAATTTGGGCAAAATATCCTTACCGTGTAAATATTTTAGCTTTTTAGAATTTAGAATTCTTTATATTTTTATCTTAAATAATAAGTAACAAACTGTAAAAACCTGGCTAAGTACTTAACAAAGTTGATTAACTTGCTTGTTAATTCTCCTCTTGTTACTTCTTCTCTTTTTCTTGAGTGCCTCGAGTGACTTTCCCCACTGTGGGACTAATGAAGGATTATCCTATCTTATCTGATCTTATCTTAAGCGAGTAAAAGATGACCTGAAAGATGCAGAAAGTTAAAAATGACAGATTTCATTAATGTTTCAAGCATAGTTACTTTATTCTTTTTTTCTTTTACAGTTTCAATATAACCACCGTGCATGGTCAGTTCTTAGTAACACCCCTTTCAAGTGGAATACCATAGCAACACCAGAGCAACCACATAGCAACCCCAGAGAAACCAGAAACAGCCTAGCAGGAAGTGAGAACCCTTTAAGCTGCAACAGTCCTGTGCTTCCTTCAGGACATGCATAGTTAAGTTCAGAGACCTTGCAGTAGCTGTCTAAGCCCTTCAGTCTCCTGAGGTGCCCAACGTTTCGCCTGATCCTCTTTTCCTTTTTACAGCCTAAAATTGTGCAAAACAAAAATAATGAATTTGCATAAAATGTTGAAAAGAATGTTTCATATTAAACTTTATGCCTTTTGGAGATCAGTTCATCTTCTACTCGCTTAACTATTCACACTAATAGAAACTTTGACCACGCTGTCCAAACTTTTGCCCTCCACTGTAAGGTGGACCAGATTTAAGGTGCCTGTACTCTCCAGAAGGTGGTCTTGTAACAGCGTGAGCTGGTGAGCGTTGGCTCGGCCTGAAGAGGACGCGGCTGTGTTGTGATTTGGGCCGCTGCCGGGCGCTGGAGTGAAAGCAGAGTGCTCTGGAGAGGCTCTTTAGTGGTGTAGATGGATGTAGGAGATGATTTGGATCAGCTGCGGTTGCGGAGATGATGGACTGACCCGCTTTCTGCTGCTGGCTGAGTGCTGAGTTTCCTCACCTGTTCCTGATGTGGTGGAGGAGCCTCAGTGAAAGCGTGAAGGTTCAGATCAGATCAGCGATCAGAGCATGAAACAGCCATAGCAACCTGCCGTTTGCTAACCAGCGTAAATACGAACAATAACAATAACTCCGCCCTTAAGGCTTATTATTATTAATATTAGAGTCTCGATTTTTCCTCATTTAGCTAATTCTCTACATTGGGATTAGCTTTTCATAATAACTAGTGTAAAATAACTGATCACATTGATTTATCAGTCTACTCAGGCTTTAGCAGAGCTCAGTAACGCTGAGATTAATAACTGATCACATTGATTTATCAGTCTACTCAGGCTTTAGCAGAGCTCAGTAACACTGAGATTAATAACTGATCACATTGATTTATCAGTCTACTCAGGCTTTAGCAGAGCTCAATAACACTGAGATTAATAACCGATCACATTGATTGATCAGTCTACTCAGGCTTTAGCAGAGCTCAATAACACTGAGATTAATAACCGATCACATTGATTGATTTATTGATTTAACTTTGGAACAGTGTTTACAGTAGTTTTATAAGTAAGCGGCCTCTTTATAGAAGTAACTCTCTGTTCCCCTGTTATCATATCCAGCTTTCTAAAATGATGAGTGTGTTCATGAAGTTCTTTGATCTTATTTTTTTTTTTATTTAAATGTGAGGATCTGTGATAAAGCTGCATACCAGGAGGGGACTGTGTAATCACACTGACTCTGAACTAAAGCTCCTGCCAGTATTTGCAGAGCTGATCCCTGTAAAAAAGCAGCTTTTCTAGCTGTAAATTTTATTTTTTGATTTATTTTCATAAGAGCTCCACCTGTTAGAGATGCATCTAACTCACAGCCAAGAGAACTCACTGTTCGCTCTCGCTTTCTGAGTAGTGAAGTATTCTCTTACTTTTACACGTAACCCAGATGATGTTCCTTTATCTTAGAACCTTGACACAGAGATTAATAGCTTATGAGCCGCTGAAAGAATTACAGAATCATCAAAAATCTGGAACGCATTACTAATACCCACCCGTCAGGCTCCTTCTGTCACTGTTCTTACACACATAAATCCATATTTCTTTGCTTTAGTTTAACTAGTGTTTTATTGGTTTGCATTATTTTACTGGACTATTTCTTTTACTGTTTTGTTAGTTGCAGTGTTTTTATTGATTTTTTTTTTTTATACATTTATTTTATGCATTTTAATTTGAATTGATTATTAATATAGCCCTTGTTCTGTTGTTGCTTTAATTTGTTGGTTTTTATTTGTTTATTTTTTTTTTATTATATATTATTATTTTTTAATTTTCTTTTTCATCTGCATTTTTAATATATGAATGAGGCTACATAAAGTATTATTATTATTGGCATATAAAACAAATTGCATGCACAGGCTGATTTCAAATTAATATCCAATAAAAAGAATCAAGGACTCAAAATACCCATAATTCTTGGCTCAGATAAGGTCCCATTTACATCAACCACCTGCACCCGATTTGGTAACTATGACTGAATCCAATAACAACTGGACCCAAGGAATTTTTATATATCAGAAATGGACATTATTGGGCGTTTTGTTTGGACAGACCACTGCAGACCTCTTTCATTTTAATTAAATATCTACTAAATTCATAAGTTCCACCAGATTGAGCTTGAGTAGATAATCTATAATCGGCTATTCAACTCAAAACTATTAATACAATGTAAAGTCCAGCTGGCATGTTCAAAAGGTGTAAAAAATGAGAAATGTAATAAACAGACAGTGATTATAAAATAAATAAATAAATGAAGAGCTTGGCCAGCAGTTGTGGCACGTTGAGTCACTGGATGCATTTTTCTGGCGTGTGATGAAAACCGTCAGGCTGGTTTTCTGTAGTTTGACCCGTTGGCAAGCGAAACAAACTCAGAACAGCACTCCCCACTGGATGTGCTTTTTGTTTTTTAGAAAGAAGACGAGCGCGAAAGTGCACCGACGCGCTCCCTCACAGAGCCTTCCAGCGTCCGTAACTTATCCCTTTAATTTGCTTAATAGAATTAATGCACCCTGTGGGCGCAGACGTGTGAATAAACCGCCAAAAATGGCCAATAAATAAACAGAATTGGATCAGTCAGCGAAGGCCCTCCAGCGCGGATCTCCGGAGGCTCGGCTCTGCCAGCTGCTCAGAAACTCGGCTGATTCCATCACCGTTATTCTGAAGAGTGGAATTACAGCAGTAATTGTGTTGAGTGGTTTTTTCTGTAAAGTAATGACTCTGGATAGGAGATTATTATGGGTTGGAGGAAGGGCTTTTGAATGAGCACTGGTTGCACTGATTTTTGGTCACTGTGTTGGACTCTTTGTTGTCTTAAAAAGCTACAAAATCCTACAGGTTTCACACAAACAAGTGTTATTTTAGATGATATAAGATAAAGCAGCAGTTTATTAACCCCTTAAATGGTCAGGGGGGCCCACTATAGCTCAGCCAGTTCGCGTTTAAGTCCCTGTAGTTACTGAATAATAAGCCTTGGTATATAATAAGCCTGGGATTTTAAGGGGTTAATCCCTGTTGAGATATGTAAATGTCACAACATTGATGAAACAAATGACATGAGATGAAATCAGGTGTGACTGAATGCTTCACATTTAATATTATACCAAATAAATATTCACATCTATTTCTGTAGAAATGCATTAGAATTGTGTTAATATGAACCTCATTTTAAAAATAAAAGTGAGATGGTATGTGAAATGCACATAAAAACAGAAAGCAGTGATTAAGAAATGGACTTTGAACTATACTTAAACAGTACAGATACAAATTATTTTTAATATTTTACCTTATTGACTTCATTGTACACATAAACTTGTAAATATATACTCATATTTTAAAACTGATGCCTGCAACACGTTCCAAAAACCTGGGACAGAAGCAGCTTCAGACATTGTGAAATATCGCAATCATGTTCGGGTGCAAAAAGGAGCATCCAGGAAAGATCCTTTATGAAATGGGTCAAGGCCACTTTGCTTAAAAATATATCTGGCAGTTTAAGAACAAGCAACTGCAAGGATTTTAGGTATTTCACTCTCCACGGTGCCTAATATTATCAAAACATCTCTGTGCGTAAAGGACAGAACCAAAAACCACAACTGAATGCACAGCAAAAGCCATATGTCAACAACTTCTGGAAACACCGCCGATTTCTCTGGGCTCGATCCCATCTGAAATGGATCAGTGTTTTGTGGAAACGTGTACTGTGGTCTGACAAGTCCACCTTTCAGATTGTTTATGGAAATAATAGAAGTCGTGTTCTGCCGGCCAAAGAAGAAACGGACCATCCAGATTGTTACCAGTGTAAAGTTCAAAATCCAGCAGCTATCATGGTACAGAGGGGATTAGTGGGTAACCTGCAGATCTATAAAGGCCTCATTAACACTGGAAGATTGGAGCAACATATGCTGCTTTCTAGATGACGAGTTTTTCAGGATGGTCCATGTTTATTTCAACATGACACACCAAGAAACATTCTGCATGTGTTACAACAGCATAGCTGCAAAATCAGAGTGCAGGAGCTAGACTGACCTGCCTGCCTCCCTTTTAAAACATGGTGCATTATGAAGTAATGGAAAAACTCAAAAATTCTGATTTAAAAAAATGGCGTCTAATGATGATATTAAGTGCTGATAAAAGGAAAAGTGATGTAACACAGGGGTAAACATGCTCCTTTTTGGACCATCCATATTCAGAATGATCATAAAGTTCATAAGGGAAAACATGTGTGAGTGTGTCAGGTTGCATTAGCTGTGTTTATACTCAGACATTGTTTTCTTTGCATTGTGTTTTTGTTTAGGTTTATATTCCAGGTCATGGTTGAATCGGCTCTTTTTGGCTCGGGCTGTTCGTTGTGAGAAAGTCCAGTTTCAGTCCACCAGCATTACTTTCAGAGCATTTCAAAACCCAAACATTACGGCCGCCTCTCACGGCTATAACTGTCCATTTGTCTGAATCGTTTAGAGACGGACATAAGGAGGAAAATAAACCCGTTCAGCCTGAAGCGACCTGACTGTTTGTGATGTCCAGACTTGATTACATTTACTAACCTTATCTGGGTGCATTACAAACAAGCAGTAAGCTCTTTTTCCTAGTTATTGCAGACTGTATTCAGGTTTATTGGTCTGTTGTAGTTTTATTTTTCAGTTCAATTGACTTATTACATCTGACAAGTCCTGCTAATGTAGAGGTTATAGGTATTATGGCCATGGGTGACATTTCAACCTGAGATCTATGGGTTGAGGGCGAGTTTAAAATTTGGGTTACGAGAATGCAGTGAGTATCAGGATTACCCAATTTAGAACCTGAGAACAGCTAAGCAGGTCCATCTAACCTCAATTTTGGATCAAGATGATCAAGAGGAAAAGATCTAAGTGACTGTATAAGAGTGTTCTTTATTAGGGCACGAACAGCAGGAGCTTCAGTCATGAAGACTTCTCAACTGTCCCCAGTGAGCAGTGACTGAAGTGACCTCTGCATACTTTGCGAAAGACAGCAGTAAACAGGGCTGGAAACTGTGGAGGAAAGTGAGATATGCAGGAGCAGCTGTTCCTCAGATGACTGAAAACATCAGTTATCAGACTGAAGCCCTATTGGAGCTGGATTAGTTTTATCAGAGGAGGTCTGGTAATCTAATCTGTCTGTGATTTGACTGGCTGATTCATATGGGATAAAGGATCTCTGTTATTTCCCCAAATTACCCGAAACAGTCTGGATCCAAACATCATCACACAGATGTTTACGACAGCATTATGCGACAGGCGCCGAACAATAACACCACACTGTGTGGTGAATGATGTATACGCTAGCATTAGGCTAGTAAAGTGGGTTCATTCATCTTGTCAAACGCCGCTCAACAAAACAAAAATATTTAATACGAATGTTGTGGATATCAGTAGTCTCATCATAAACTGTGGGACTAAGGAATTGAACTCCATTTCAGCTGTTAGCCCCGTCTTCAGGTTAAAAACCTCCGCTTCAGCTTCATTCATTTCCTGCAAAGTTTAAGGTGGAATGGGAAAATTGATGCCCCAGAATGCAATTGTGGCACCTAAGGTGGACTGGGAAAATTCAAAAAAGGAAGCTGGCAAATAGGAAGCAACTTAAGCCTCGTCCATTTTCTGTTAATCGTTTTTTTTTATTTAATTTCTGAGAAGTGATTGGAGCAGGACTGCTTTTACTGAGGAGCTCTGAGTTTGGGGAATCATAGAAAGTAATTCACTCTTGAATTATGACTCATCAGACTGTAAAAACTACAAATATGACAGATTCATTCGGGATTAAAAGCATGGATCTCGTCTGTAACCACTCAATTTACAGCACGTCCTCAAGTTATACTAATCCAGCTCGAATAGGGCTTTAGAACAAACAGTCTGTCCACAACCACACTGAGAGGGATATTATAGTAGAGCTGCAGTGCAAAAACCAGTGACCATCTGAGAGGTCAGTACTGTAAAAACAATCAGCACTGGTCTACAGAGATGTGGAGAACAGTGGTACAGCCACCCTTCACCCTGTTCTCCACAAGTGGGAGAGTGCATGTGCAGCGTACACCAATAGAGAATGGTGTATGTGTCATGGTGGTTTAATACCACACTGAGAGCTTATCACCACTGTCAGTGGTCAAAGCTAGGCATCTTGGTGCAGCCGATCAAAATATAGTGGGCGGAGGGGGTGGGGTTTATGTCATGGACACACCCACTGCTCAAGAGCCAAACCAACCTGTGTAGACTATGTAAGAATAAATTACAACGTTTTTGACACATAAAACATGGGCAGTCTTATGTAATGATCTCATGAAATGTGTTTCATCACATCCCTGATATTGTTCTGTTTCAATAAATATGCTCTCTCTCTCTCTCTCTCTCTCTCTCTCTCTCTCTCTCTCTCTCTCTACCTCTCTACCGCTCTCTCTCTCTCTCTCTCTACCTCTCTACCTCTCTCTCTCTCTCTCTCTATTTTTCTTTTTCTTTCTGCCTCTCCCAGCTCCTAACCCATGTGAAGCCAATGGAGGGAAAGGCCCTTGCTCTCATCTCTGTCTGATAAACTACAATGTCTCCGCCTCCTGCGCCTGCCCTTATCTAATGAAGCTCTCTGCAAACAACCGCACCTGTCAAGGTGAGCCACACCCCTGATTGCACCTGCCCAGGTAAGCTACATCTATCTAGCTGAGCCACGCCTCCAGTCACACATGCCAAAATAAGCCAAACACTCAATATCACCTTGGAAAGTAAGCCACACCCCTCACCTGAATAGGCTGGACACACATCCTTAACCCTGCCTACTAAAGTAAGCCACACCTTCAATCACACTGTTCAAATAAGACTCACTCTAAATCACGCCTGCTTTGGCGAGCCACACCCCCAGCCACACCTATTCAAATGAGCCACACCGTCAACCATACCAAAGTAAGTCACATTCTCTCTCAAACACACATGCCCAGGTGAGCCTAACCCCCAACCACACCTGCCCTGCTGAACCACACCCTAATCACACCTGTTGAAGTAAGCCACACCCTCAACCATGCCTACCAAAGTAGGTCACACCTCCAATTGCAATTGTCCAGGTAAACCACACCCTTGACCGCACCTGCCAAAGTAAGCCACCTCCCCAGTCACACCTATTCAAATGAGACACACCCTCAACCATGTCTACAAGGTAAGTCACAACCGCTCTAAAAAGCACATGCCCAGGTGAGCCCCAAGCCCAATCACACCTTTTCAAGCAAGCCACACCCCCTAAACACACATGCCCAGGTGAGGGACACCCCCAACCATGCCTGCCCCGCTGAGCCACACCCTTAATCACACCTATTTAAGTAAGCTACACCCTCAACCATGTCTACTAAATTAGGTCACACCTCCAATTGCAATTGCCCAGGTGAGCCACGCTCTTAATCGCACCTGCCAAAGTAAGCCACACCCCCAATCATACCTATACTACTCAGACACACCCTCAACCATGTCTACTAAATTAGGTCACACCTCCAACTGAAATTGCACAGGTAAGCCACACCTTTAACTGCACCTGCCAAAGTAAGCCACAACCCCTATCATACCTATGCAAGTGAGACCCTCAACCATGCCTACTAAAGCAAGACACCCCCTAAACACACATGCTCAGGTGAGCCACACCTTCAACCACACTTTCAAAATAGTTTACACCTTCAACTGCGATTGCTCAGGTGAGCTAAAACCCCACCCACACCTGCCCAGGAAAGTCACACCCTCAGTGAGATGAACCCCACCCTGTACCCTCAGGTCAGGCAACAGCTGCACGTGCCCAGGTGAGTCTGAGCCTCTGCTCTCCTGTTGTCTTTAGTGGCCACATTGTGATGATCATGGCCTACAATCATCATCGTTTGGTAATAAAGGTAAAGACTATAGAGGTTTTGAATAAAACCCCACTTTGCTGTTGTAACTGAAAGGTTCAGGCCATTCTTCTGTAAAGGTTCCACAGCCACCATGGTCGGTTCTGCACCTCTTTGGTTCATTTCAGATTTACAGGCTTATTCCATGCACTGCTAAGTAATTTTAGGCCATTTTTCTAAGCACTAGTAGAGTTTTGTTAGTGAATCGGAGTGAAACTCTGATCTTGGAACAGTTCCAGCCCATCTCCGGAGACCCCGGTGACCTAGCTAAACTCGTAACCCGCGGGAACGGAGGTTCATTTGAATTTCCCGTTCTTAAAACCTTGGAAAGCGGTGCAGAGGTCAGGAGAGGAGAAAACCCTGCAGAAAAACAGGACGTACACACAGAGAGAAACATGTAAAGTTCAGCCGTGTGAGTCTCTCAGAGAAGAGCATGTGCTGAGAGGGTTCTGCCTGCATGCATGGAGAACCGCTCCATTCTGTGACCTATTAGCCTAAAAACTGTGGAATTTCATCTTCCGCTCTTCTGAGCCGATTGTTTTTACAGTAGGTTTAACTGTATATGAGATAGAGATACAGTCTAAAAGTGTGAAATCAGTGTTTTCAGTTATATAAAATCAACTTTGTTGCAAATAAATATCACAAAACAATATCCAGAATACAGCTGTCAGAAAATGATATCCAGAATGAAGTTCCAATAAAATTAACATCCAGGATGAAGTTCTATAAAATTAATATCCAGAAAGAAGTTCTATATAATTAATATCCAGAATGAAGTTCTATAAAATTTATATCCAAAATGAAGTTCTATAAAATTTATATCCAGAATGAAGTTCTATAAAATTAATGTCCAGAATGAAGTTCTATATAATTAATATGCAGAATGAAGTTCTATAAAGTTAATATCCAGAATGAAGTTCTATAAAGTTAATATACAGAATGAAGTTCTATAAAATTAATATCCAGAAAGAAGTTTTAATAAAATTAACATCCAGAATAAATTTCTAATAAAGTTTCTAATAAAATATAATAAATATTTCAATCAATACTGTAAGTTTGCAATATTTAATATACTAAAAGTTTCCAAACCTTTGAACATGTGTAACTTATCAGTAGGTGTACATGTTTACTGATGTGTGTGTTCTGTGTTCTGCGTGTTCTGCGTGTTCTGCGTGTTGTGTTCTGCAGTGGTGAAGAGGTTCCTGCTCTATGCTCGGAGGTCAGAGATTCGAGGTGTGGACCTAGATGACCCGTACCTGAACATCATCACGGCCCTGACCGTTCCCGACATCGATGATGTCACAGCCATGGATTACGACGCGACGGACGAGCGGATTTACTGGGCCGACGTTAAAACTCGGACAATAAAAAGAGCGTCCATTAATGGGACCAGACTGGAGACGGTCATGTCTGGAGGTAAAGTGTGTCTGAGTGGGTTCAGAAACTCTGACCTTCTACAACAACTAAGGATAAATTATAGAGGCACGGGACAACAAGTTAATTAATAACAGTAATAATATTAATTATGATGTCTATTTTTTGCTATTCATAATTTAAAATTAACATTACAAACAATGTATATATATATATATATATTTCAATATTTATTTAGTTATTTATTAGAAATGTTTGCAATGATGATGACAATAATAATAATAAAAATGTTCATACTTTTTTTTTCATATTTAACTGGTAAATTATGGGGACTATATCTATGTAATGTAGAGCAAACAGTATACAGAGACACATATATACTGTATATGGATAGATATGCAGATTTTTAGTTATAGATGTATTGATGTGTAGGTTATGTATGATTCCAGTGATATATATTGTTATGTATGTGTCTGCAGATGTGCTGAACGTGCGAGGGCTGGCTGTGGACTGGCTGTCCAGGAACATATACTGGATGAGCTCCGACAGCGACGAGACTCAGATTAACGTGGCTCGTTTGGACGGTTCGCTCAAAACCACCATCATCCACGGCATCGACAAACCCAGAGGCCTCGTTCTGCACCCAGCCAGAGGGTAACGCTTTAAACGAGTCATATTCCACATCTTATCCCTGAGCTTAACTGCTGTAGGCTGAATGGGTGGGGCTAAACTGTTATAGGCTGAATGGCTGGGGCTAAACTATTATAGGCTGAATGGGTGGGGCTAAACTGTTATAGGCTGAATGGGTGGGGCTAAACTGTTATAGGCTGAATGGGTGGGGCTAAACTGTTATAGGCTGAATGGGTGGGGCTAAACTGCCATATGAGCGAGGGGGCTAAACTACACTAGGCTCAGTGGGTGTAGATTTCTTCATGCTTTGTGACATCACAACCATGACGAATTCAACGTATGTTGTTTTAGAGAGATGAAGTTTAGTCCTCCGTGATGTTGGTCCTTTAAAGCAGAGCTGATTGATGATGACACAGTGAAAGCGAAGCTGAATGAGCTGCGTTCACAATGCAGAATCACACTCATACCTGCGATATAAAGGCTCCGCAGTTCCACGCAGAAGTTTTTCACATTAATTGCTGTCGGAGTTGCTGAGCAGACACGGCCCGTTGGTTAGAGAGTTAATTACCGAACCGTGCCCCGCGTGTTCGCGCATGTTGCAATAACCCAACTCGTCACACTCGCTCTCGCTCGGCTTATTAAGGCTGGCAGAACAGATACGCTCATTAAGACGCTCTTAACGAGCCAGCGCCGGGCATCAGCCAATCCAGCACTAGCATTTATCTTCTCCTTATTTGGCTGGTCAGTGACAGCTCGCTCATTTGCATACATCACGACACCACGAGATTAAAAAAAGGAGCTATTGTTTACGGTACGCTTACCGTAACGCGCCGGTTTATAATACGCTGGGCGTCTCCGAGATGCTGTTGAACATTTTCCGCACAGAATCCGTCTGTTATGATTTGCAGCCTCGGGCTGAACCTAAAACGACTCCTGAGACGTTTCTGAAAGTCATCTGTCTCGGAGGATAACGCGCTGCCAGATATGTGAACAAAAAAGTGACAGATTGATTCAGTTGTTTTGTTGCCCTCGGTGATGCTGCAGACAGATGCCTGTTATTGTTGTTGTTTTCTTTTTTTTTCATCTAAAAAATGCTCTGCCCTTTCAGCCGCAACAGTGGGTCTTATTGTTTCTGTGCTGTTTACATGTAAATATTATTTGACGGATGTGAATAAACCACAGATCGCCGTAAGGATGAGTAGACATGCGGTGCATATGAATGGTAAACATGACATACGGAGCTCTGAGCTTGACAGAGAGGTCATATGTGCATTTACAACACACTGTTGTGTTGTTTTGTGCTGTTTTCTTAGGAAAATGTTCTGGACAGATGGAAACACCGTAAACATGGCCAACATGGATGGGAGCAACAACAAGATCCTCCACCAGAACCAGAAAGAACCAGTCGGTAAAGTCAGAACAGCACACAGTACATGATGATGCACTCTTAGGCCAAAGGTATGTGGACACACCTAAATGAGCTTGTTGAACATCCCATTCTAAAACCATTGGGATTAAATATGGAGTTTCCCCCTTTGCAGATATAACAGCTTCCACTCTTCTGAGAAGGTTTCCACAAGACTTTGGAGTGTGTCTGAGCTCATTCAGTAAAAAGAACATTTGTGAGGTCAGACACTGATGTTGGACGAGAGGGTCAGGCTCACAATCTCCGTTCTAGTTCATCCCAAAGGTGTCTAGTGGGGTTGAGGTCAGGCCACTGGAGTTCCTCCACACCAAACTGGTCACTCCATGTCTTTATGGAGCTGCTTTATGCACAGGGGCTCAGTCATGCTGGAACAGGAAAGGCTCTTCCCCAAACTGCTGACACAAAGCTGGAAGCAGATAACTGTGTAAAATGTCTTTGTGCTGCAGCATCAACATCACCCTTCACTGGAACTGAGAGCCCAAACCCTGAAAACAGCCCAGCCCATCATCCCTCCTCCACCAAACTGTACTGTTTATCCCTCCTCCACCAAACTGTACTGTTTATCCCTCCTCCACCAAACTGTACTGTTTATCCCTCCTCCACCAAACTGTACTGTTTATCTCTCCTCCACCAAACTCTACTGTTTATCACTCCTCCACCAAACTCTACTGTTTATCCCTCCTCCACCAAACTCTACTGTTTATCCCTCCTCCGCCAAACTGTACTGTTTATCCCTCCTCCACCAAACTGTACTGTTTATCCCTCCTCCGCCAAACTCTACTGTTTATCCCTCCTCCACCAAACTCTACTGTTTATTACTCCTCCACCAAACTGTACTGTTTATCCCTCCTCCACCAAACTCTATTGTTTATCCCTCCTCCTCCGCCAAACTCTACTGTTTATCCCTCCTCCACCAAACTCTACTGTTTATCCCTCCTCCACCAAACTCTACTGTTTATCCCTCCTCCTCCACCAAACTCTACTGTTTATCTCTCCTCCACCAAACTCTACTGTTTATCCCTCCTCCACCAAACTCTGTTTATCCCTCCTCCACCAAACTCTACTGTTTATCCCTCCTCCGCCAATCTCTACTGTTTATCCCTCCTCCACCAAACTCTACTGTTTATCCCTCCTCCACCAAACTCTACTGTTTATCCCTCCTCCACCAAACTCTGTTTATCCCTCCTCCGCCAAACTGTACTGTTTATCACTCCTCCACCAAACTGTACTGTTTATCCCTCCTCCACCAAACTGTACTGTTTATCCCTCCTCCACCAAACTCTACTGTTTATCCCTCCTCCACCAAACTGTACTGTTTATTACTCCTCCACCAAACTGTACTGTTTATTACTCCTCCGCCAAACTGTACTGTTTATTACTCCTCCACCAAACTCTGTTTATCCCTCCTCCACCAAACTCTACTGTTTATCCCTCCTCCGACCAAACTGTACTGTTTATCTCTCCTCCACCAAACGCTACTGTTTATCCCTCCTCCACCAAACTGTACTGTTTATCCCTCCTCCACCAAACTCTGTTTATCCCTCCTCCGACCAAACTGTACTGTTTATCCCTCCTCCGACCAAACTGTACTGTTTATCTCTCCTCCACCAAACGCTACTGTTTATCCCTCCTCCACCAAACTGTACTGTTTATCCCTCCTCCACCAAACTCTACTGTTTATCCCTCCTCCACCAAACTGTACTGTTTATTACTCCTCCGCCAAACTGTACTGTTTATCACTCCTCCACCAAACTGTACTGTTTATCCCTCCTCCACCAAACTCTACTGTTTATCCCTCCTCCACCAAACTGTACTGTTTATTACTCCTCCACCAAACTCTACTGTTTATCACTCCTCCACCAAACTCTACTGTTTATCCCTCCTCCACCAAACTCTACTGTTTATCCCTCCTCCACCAAACTGTACTGTTTATTACTCCTCCACCAAACTCTGTTTATCCCTCCTCCGACCAAACTGTACTGTTTATCCCTCCTCCGACCAAACTGTACTGTTTATCTCTCCTCCACCAAACGCTACTGTTTATCCCTCCTCCACCAAACTGTACTGTTTATCCCTCCTCCACCAAACTTTACTGTTTATCCCTCCTCCACCAAACTGTACTCTTGGCTCTGCATTCCGGTGGGTAACGTTTTCCTGACATCCACCAAACCCAGATTGATCATCAGACTGACAGATAGAGAAGCTGTGTCGTGAACTGTGTGAACCAGTGGCGGCGCTTTATACCACGCCAGCCAACGCTTGGTACATAGTGCACATAGTGATCTTAGGCTTCTGTGCAGCTGATCAGCCATGAAATCCCATTTCATGAAGATCGTGATGCTCAGTTCTTGTGCTGATGTTGCTTCCTGAGGCAGTTTGGAACTCTGTAGCGAGTAATGCAGCAGAGGAAAGGCGAGATTAACATGCTATATGTGTGTTTGTGTGGTCTATCTCTTTGTGGCTGAGCTGTTGTTGCTCCTAGTTGTTTCCATTTTACAATAACATCACTTACAGTTGGCTGGGGCAGATCTAGCAGGGCAGAAACTTCACAAACCTGTGGCAAAGGTGGCATCCCGTGAGAGTGTCATGTTGCCAGCGTTTATCTATGGAGATTGCATGGCTATGTGCTTCATACACCTGAACACCTGAGCTCAATAATTAGCAGGGGTGTCCACATACTTTTGCCCATATGGTTTATTTTTTACTTTGCTCAATGAAACAAGTGGAGAAATTGTGTGGAACGTGCATTTATGTACACCAAAACCAGTCAAAATTCATTTCTACATGACCTCTTTTGAGCTTTCTTTATCCCAGGTTCTGTGCCTTTACCTTGATATATGTAAATGAGCTCTGTTCTCATTGGCTGAGCCTTATTGAGAAAGCAGTCTGAACTGAAACACTTCTTATAACGTCAGTGTGAGTGGGTGGGGCTAAACTGCTGCAGGCTGAGTAGGCAGAAATATGTAAATGTGTTGGTTTTTGTGACATCACAGAGGCAATTAATCCAAAACAGGCAGCTTAGCTTCCATATATGGACTGGGAAGTGAACAGTACGTTTTTAAGCTTGGAGCAGTGTTTATTTATACTACATCAAAGTCCTTTTTTCTTCAAAAAAGTGAGGAAAACTCAGTTTTGGATCATACAGGCCCTTTAAAGCAGCGCATGGCTCTGCTGGACAGCATTACCAGTAAACAATGCAGGCTTGGTGTCTTTCAAACTAATGATTGAATGCTCTTGTTTGGTTGGTGCTTTTATTGTGTTCATAACAAATGTGGAAAACAAACAAACGAGTTTATGACAAATTCTATGAAAGATGAACCAGCCGAGAATGAAAAGTTGCAGCATCTGTCAGATCTAATGAGATGTTTCTGGCAGATTTCACACATAAAACGCACGTAAAACTGTTAATCTAGTTTACTTTTGTAGCGTTTATGGTCCCTCGGTGTTTTTTATAGAAACAGTAATTGTTGTAGAAGAATTGAGTTATCTCAAACACACTGACCCCCTCTTCCTCCCCGCCTTCACATTTACCATTTTACTCTAAATATTTCTGACACTCAGTGCCTGTGATTTACAGCTCCAGGCGGATCTTTAATAACAGTAATTATGTATCTGATGTAGATGGAGAAGAGCGAAGCAGACTGTGATGTGTGGATGTGTGGAGACAAGCTCGGCTGCTTTTAGACACTAATGCCATTATGCTGTAAATAAACAACTCACCCTCGGGAACATCAAGATTAGACTGGAGTGGATGTGCACTCTGTTACTGTCTAATGAAAAACAACAGCACTGGTGTTCAGTCAGATACACACTTTATTAGAAACACCCATCTTGTGCTTCCACTAACTGGCCACTTTATTGGAAACAACTACCTTGTGTTTCTACTAACTGGCCACTTTATTAGAAACACCCATCTTGTGCTTCCACTAACTGGCCACTTTATTAGAAACAACTACCTTGTGTTTCCACTCACTGGCCACTTTATTAGAAACACCCACCTTGTGCTTCCCCTAACTGGCCACTTTATTAGAAACAACTACCTTGTGTTTCCACTAACTGGCCACTTTATTAGAAACAACTACCTTGTGCTTCCCCTAACTGGCCACTTTATTAGAAACAACTACCTTGTGTTTCCACTAACTGGCCACTTTATTAGAAACACCCACCTTGTGCTTCCACTAACTGGCCACTATATTGGAAACACCCACCTTGTGCTTCCATTAACTGTCCATTTAATTAGGAACACCTTGTATTTCCGCTACTGGCCACTTTATTAGAAACACCTACCTCGGTTTTCCACTAACTGGCTACTTTATTAGAAACACCTATCTTGTACCTCTTTCATCATTTTCTCTCTGTCTGCCTTCACAGGTCTGTCTATAGACTACTCTTCCAGCAAACTCTACTGGATTAGCTCAGGGAATGGAACTATTAACAGATGTAACCTGGATGGGAGTGGCCTGGAAGTGATTGACAGTCTGAAGAAGGATCTGATGAAGGCGACGGCTCTTGCTGTTATGGGTGAGTGAGACGAGTTGTGTTTGTCAGGTAATGAGTGGGGAAGTGAAAATGCATTCTAATGCATCAGCCTGAGAGTCGTGACTCAACTGCATCGATTTTGGAATCAATTATGATTGATTTTAGGAATATTTAATAAATCATGCAGTCATTTTTAGGCCAAAGGAAACATTCAGAGTCTTGGCCCTTTAGCTCAGTGGCCCTTTTAACTGATTAGAATCTGTCCTCCAGATTAGTTGGCGAGTGCGCATGTCCGAGTTGGTCAGCAAGATAGATCAGTGTGTGGATCTGGAACTTTCTGTGATCTACTGTGTTTCCTATCACTGTGTTAAAGAAGCTCCATGCTGCCTTTACTGCTGGGTGCACTGCAGTGGTTTGCTGTATGCTTGTTAAAAAGCCAAACTTTCCATGTCAATTAAATGTAACTACAGCATTGATAAATCATGATATTGAAAGAGAAGAGTAGATTAAACCTCAGGCTTAGTGCTGCAAAAAGTCCTTCTATTCTTCTACTGTTTACTGATTTTAGTCCACCATCTTCAGTACTGCGTAGGCCTCTCAGGCACAGTTTTAAAATGGTTTAAATTATATTTAATGAAGAAACAGTTTTTGGTTTCACTAGGAAATCATACATCAAAAAAATCAAAAAGTCCCACAGGTTCAGTTTTAGGGCCTTTGTTTTTCTCTTTGTACATGTTACTTCTAAGTGATGTCATTAGGGGAACATCATAGCTGCCAAGTAGCTTTGTATCACGTGAGAAAGTCACTAAAGTTCAGCCTTTTCTATCTCAGAGCGACGCAGAGAAACTTGTTGATGCATTTGTTCCAGCAGAGTTGATCACTGTAATGATCTTCTTAAAAGATCACCTGGGTCTTTTAGAGAGTTTAAAGCTCTGCTGCTGGTTTTTAAAGCTCTAAATGACCTTAAAGCCCCTGAATGTCTGTTTATGATCTCAGATCTGCAGATTCTGACCTTCTGAACTCCTTCAGTAAAACACAGAGAACGTGGAGAGACTCTTTCAGTTATTCTGCTTCTAAACTGTTGAGCTCAGTTTAGCTTTTATTAGGCAGTCGAGCTCTTTTTGTGTTAAACTTTTTTATTAGCGATGGTGCATCGCAAAGCAATTCTGTTCTATTTGTATTCTTCTTCTTCTGTTTCTTTTTCTGTCGAATTTTTGTCTGCTAACTCACCCCACAGTTTTCAAGATGTCGACACCATTCCAACTACTGAATGTTTGGTCTGATCAAGACTGGTGCACTTGTTTACATTTTTTTGATCGGACATACGATTTTCATACAACCATGTTTAAACGTTGATCCATTAGCAGCACCCTGTTAACCATGGGGCACCATAGCAGTGACCTGGCAAACAACTGGAATACCATAGAACCCACTTTGCAACACTCTAACAACCACTTGGGATGTCATAGCAATCACCCAGCAACCAGCTGGGAGACTATAGTAACTACCTAGCAACACCCAACAACCTTGCAACTACAGGGATTCTATAGCAATAAACTAGCAACACCTTAGCAACCACCTGGAATACCATAGCAACCCCTTAACAACACTGTAGCAACCATTTGGAATACAATAGCAACTGCTTAGCAACACCTTAGCATCCATCTGGGATATGACAGCAACCAATTAGCAAAACCCTAGCAACCACCTGGGATACCAAAGCAACCACCTAGCAACACCCTAGCAACTACCTGGGATATCATAGCAACCACCTAGTGACACCCTAGCAATAATCTGGAATAGCATAGCAACCAACTAGGGACAACCTAGCGACTACCTGGGATACCATAGCAACCACCTAACAACAACTTAACAACTACTTAGCAACACCCTAGTAACCACATAAGATATCATGGCCATACCAGGGATACCATAACAACCCCATGAATACTTTAGCAACCGGTTAGCAACACATTGGCAAACAGTTAAAATACCATAGTAACCATTTGGCAATCCACTATCAACCACCTGTGATACCATAGCATCCACATTAGAACACCCTAACAACAATCTGGAATAGCATAGCAACCAACTAGGGACCCACCTAGCAACCACCTGGGATACCATAGCAACCACCTAACACCCTACTAACCACTTGGGATGTTATGGCAACTGCTTAGCATCATCTTTGCATCTACCCGAGATGCTGAAGCAACCGGTCAGCAACATATTAGCAACTGCTTAAGCTGCGCAATCACTCTAGTTTAGTTTAATCTGTTATTGTTTCAGATTATTTTAAATTAACATTCTTAACTTTTCTTTATTAAATTAGTTCACTGATAGTAACATTTCAGAACAGTAACTATAATAGAAGAACTCAACTAATTTCTTCTATTACTGTTCAATTTTATCAACCGTCTGTAAAGAACTTTGAGCTGCCATTGGTATGAAAAGTGTTCTATAAATGAAGTAGTTTTTATTGTTGTTATTATTATTATTATTATAAATACGATTATCATCAAACATCAGAAATAGCTGCTTTATTAGCGTTATGTTTAATGTGTGGTGTAAAGCAGGTCCCTGTAAAGGCAGTGGTTATTTCAGCAGAACACTGGATCTGTTTGAAGCGTCCGCCGTACAGTAGTGAGAGAAATGATCTTTCTTTTCTTTTCATTAGCGTTTGAGCGCTCTGAGCACGTGCAGCAGGGCTCTGTAGTCAGAGCTGATATTAGTCTGCGCTCTGGGGTTTTTCCTCTTTCTCCATGTAACCTAATAACGATCTTTTCCTCCCTCCTCGACGTTTATGGAGCGCGGGCGTGCGATCGCTCCGAGGTTTGTGTTGATTTGAAGTGATTCGGCGGAGCTGAACTTGCACTGATCCTTTCCTGATGTCAGCTACGTTATTGTTCCTGCTGAATTCCCCTTTCATTCCTTCTCGTCTTTATCTCCTCTCAATGTTTTGTGTTCGTACATCAGTAGCGATGAGTCAAAGCTGATTGAGCGACTCTGTTTTTCCTCTGATGAGTCCCAGGTGACCCGGAGACTCAACCTGTTCCGTCAGTTTTCCCCTCTCCTCTCATTCTGCTGCTCTATTCACTCGTTCTCTTTTCACTCACTCGCCCAGACCTCCGGCTCCGTCTGCTCTGACAATATGTCCAAGGAAACATTTAACTTCTTTTCTTTATTCATTCGGTTTGATTTATTTATTTATTTATTTATTTACTGGAACCTCAGCTTACGAGAGATAACAGTTGAATGCTTCCAATATCAAACAGAATGCACATGCACAAGATCTCCTGTTTGCTTTAGAGAGCTGCTTTCCTTTATAAGACACAATTAAAGCGATACTTCAGCCAATAATTGCATTTACCCCAAATTTGACCAGCTAAGACCTGCCTCATCTCTGTATTTGACTTCTTTAGTCTTAGCACTGGAGCTACGATGCTAAAAAGGCTAAAAAATAATGCAAGCTTATACCCCACCGATTAGCATTGTGCTAACTGAGCCATCACCCTCAGTGTTGTTCAGTATCTCTAATAGACCTGGTTGTGTCGTTTCTGACACTGTATGACTCACTGTTATCTATAAATATGTACTAAAGCACTTATTTGTGCTAATAAGCATCTGTTACTTGCTACATTTTAGCTACATTTTAGGCAGTGTGGGGTAATAAAACATTTCATACAGCCTCAGGAACCACAACGTCAAGTCTGTTAGAGATTAATTAGCAACACGATTTAAGGCAAGAGATGATTTAGACATGCGGTTAGCAATTAGCAACCCTAGCAACTGTCTGGGATACAATAGCAATGCTTAGCAATGCCTTAGCGACCACCTGGGATGCCCCAGCAACTGCCTAGAAACACCTCAGCAACCATCTGGGATGCAATAGCAAATGCTTAGCAACACTTTAGCAACCACCTGGGATACCACAGCAACAATGTAGCAACACTCTAGCAACCATCTGAGATACCACAGCAACCACTTAGCAACACCGTAGCAACCATCTGGTATACAATAGCAAATGCTTAGTAACACCTTAGCCACAACCTGGGATACCACAGCAACCATGTAGCAACACCCTAGCAATCATCTGGGAAACCACAGCAACCATGTAGCAACACCGTAGCAACACCCTAGCAACCATCTGGGACACCATAACCACCAACTAGCTACCACCTAGCAGCACCCTAGCAACCTTCTGGGATAGCACAGCAATCACCAAGCAACGCTCTAGCCACAACCTGGGATACCACAGCAACCATGTAGCAACACCCTAGCAATCATCTGGGAAACCACAGCAACCATGTAGCAACACCGTAGCAACACCCTAGCAACCATCTGGGACACCATAACCACCAACTAGCTACCACCTAGCAGCACCCTAGCAACCTTCTGGGATACCACAACAACCACCTAGCAATACCCTAGCAACCATCTGGGATAGCACAGCAATCACCAAGCAACACTCTAGCAACCATGTGGGATGCAATAGCAACTGCTTAGCAACACCCTAGCAACTACCTGGGATACCACAGCAACCACGTAACAACACCCTGGCAAACATCTGTGACACCAACACCCTAGCAACTGTCTGGTATACAAAAGCAACACCTTAACAACTACCTGGGATACCATAGCAACTACCTAGCAACATTCTCCTTGTAGCTCCAGCCCAAACCTGAAGACACCTTGACCCCCGGGTGTGTTTGCTGGTTGGCTGCACTGAGAGGGAGCAGTGAGGGTGAGGAGATCAGATTTGTTGGCTAAACCATCACATTAAGACCTCATTAAACTATAGTAGCGCTGAAAGTGCTTCAGTGAGACTCGTCCATATTTAGCCAGAATCCAGGATCGGGTCACCTTTGATATCTGGCGCGGTCAGATTCATTAGGACGTAAAACGGCAGAAACCGCTCGTAGATCAGCGTCCTGACTTTGAGGAGTGTGATGGATGTGGGTCGCTGGGTTTCAGACTTGGTGTCGGCCTCCGCAGGAGAGAGCAGGAGGCGCACATTCCTCATCGTTCGTGGAATGACGCTAATCA